ACTTACTGTCCCACAAGAAAATTCCTGCCCAGAGGTGGTTCTCAATCTTGGCCGCCCACTGGAATCACCTGTTGAATTTCAAAAACGTGGGTGCTTGGTCCCATCCCCAGAGAAGCTGATTTCATTGAGGGAGGGGAGGGGTGCTGGGGAGCCTGGCCTTGGGAGTATTTAAAAACTTTGTCTGGTGATTGCAACATGCAGGCACAGGGGTGAGACCCCCACAGGGTCACGTCTTGGACTCCCACTCGCGTTGGGTGCTGCAGCATGCTCTGCTAAGAGGTGTGTGACTTTTCTTTGGGGTGCAGATGTCCTCTGCTCCTCTGTGACATGAGCTCCAGGGCTCTGTTCCCCAGTGGCTTCTGGCATGGCCGTGAGTGGCTAAGCCGGTTTCATTCTAGAGTGATGTACTGACAAGCCCCACTGGCCACAGAGCTGAGGTGAGTGTCCAATCAGCTTTATTAACAATGAGAAGTGTTACTATCCTAAGTGAGGGTGCACACTCCAAGACCACCTGGTACCCTCTCTGTGCCTCAGTTTCCTCACCTACACACTGGGGATAAATAATTGCATCTACCTGGCAGGGCTGCTATGAGGATCAAAGCCCAGAGCTCACTGCCTGCTACTCAGTGAGCACTTGGAAACAGCAGCTACTTTCATAAAGATGACATTTGTATCTCTGTTTCCAGTGTCCTGAATCATTTTTCAGGAATAAAAAAGACGGAGTGTTGCAGACACTGACTAGCCCAGCCCCTCGCGGTGGCAAGAGGCAGTAGCTAGGTGGTCAGGAGACAAATTTTCTACAGCAAATCAGGGCCCACGGTTGTGCTGGTCTTGGCTTGCCACTTGGTTTTTCTGAGCCCAGCCGCAAGATGGGAAAGAGGAAGCAAGAAAGGGACTCCCCTGCAGCCACCCCTGCCTCCTGAGTCGGGAGCCCTTGCTCAGATGGTGGCAGCAGGTGCCAAAGCCGTGGAGCGGAGGCCCCAGGAGACTGGCTGTCCCGCAGGGTCCTCGCTGCCTCCCGTCTGGGTGTCGCCCTCGGGCAGGGCTTTCTGTCCACTCCACGCTCTCCCCGCAGTTCTACCTGCTCTCCTCACTGCTCAGGGCGTCTGCTTCATGCGTATTTTCTCCACGTGTTCTGCCCAGGCTAATGGCTCTGTCATGACAGATTAATCCCCATAGAGAAGAAAGAGACATCTGGAAAATGTCCACTCTGCTCCTTATCATCTCTCCTGGGGCCTCGGGATGTCCGGTGGCTCTGCTCCAGCAGCTCATCGAGGAACTGGCCTGGCCCGTTTCAGTGGTGGGCTAACAGGGGCTCCTTGGCCGAGGCCCTCCCCGGGGCTGGACGGTGGCCAGCCATGGTCATGGGCCAAGGTCACTGGCTACCGCACTGGAAGGACGGTGCCAGGAGCGGAGGCCAGTCCAACCTGGGGTCTCAGGACCCATCCCGGGCAGGACCAGTCCCCCGCAGTGGCTGCCAGGCTGCCGCAGCCCTGGCCTCTCTGAGCTGCTAAGGGTAGAGGCATCCAGCCAGCCAGCCGCCCTTCATGAATATAACCATTAAAAGCTCATCCTAAATGAAGCATTGTCAAAACTCCCCAAGATCTTTCTGGTTGTTCAAAAGACGGCCAGAGTTTCTTTTTTCTCACTCCATCCCCTCTCTGTCCATGTCCCTTGTCTCTCCCTTTCTTCCTGTCCTTCCTTCTCTCACTTTAATTGCATTTCTCAGGGTGTCTGCCAGCCTGTTGGCGGCACTGGGCATGGGTAGGAGGGGACATCTCCACCATAGGTCAGGTTGGGGATAGAGGAAGCATTTGGGGACACTGGCTTCACCTCTTCCACCTAAGCCTGTGTCATTTACCAGCCGACCTCCGCAATGAGTGAAACTCTTACCCATGTGTGAAATAAAGTAATTTTCTGGGCGACAATCAGTCTCTCCTCTGTGGTTGCCAGTGTTGGCTATATAGCCCTTCGCTGTCCTGAGTCCTTAGCTCTGCATTTTATTTTATTTTTTTGGTTACGTGCCTGTCCGCCTCTCTGTTTTATTTTTATACAAATGCTAGCATACTGTCATCTTGTGTTGCCCCTAGGTTTGTTTTTTGTGGTTGTTTTGTTTTCCAGCCTAATAAGCTTCTTGCTTTCTTTCCACATCTGCACAAAGGAAGCGACATCACTCGTTTTTAATGGCTTGTGCAGCAAAACACGTTTCTGCTCCGTTGCACGCAGCCAGCCGGCCCGGGCCTTGCGGACTGGAGGACTTGCACCCCCGGCTGCGAGCGAGTCAGGGCGGGCAGGAAGCAGATGGCAACTCCATGGTGGTGGCGGAGGACTGCTTAATGCAGGCGCTGTGGACTGCCACCTGGGCGGCAAAAGGAAACAGCCGGGGACCCAGCAGCACCAGCCCAGCACTGCCTAGTCTGACTGCTCTTTTCACTACGTCCCTGGGAGGCCACGTGGCCGAGGGCACATCTCTGGAAAGGCAGAGCCACCTGGGAACTAAGGGCCCGGCTCCCAACCAGTCATCGTCACTGGGTTTTCTTTGATGGCCAAAAAATTGAAATAATAAAAACCATGCTCAGTTATTTAAATTCCATTCGTGAATCTAAAGAAGAGTTTATAAATTAGTCTTTTCCACAATCAAGGCCAATTAACTCAACTCTGCTGTTATGAGTTTTCATAATTTTTCTATTTACCCAACTCACGAATTGCTTTTTAAGTCATAAGTTGCACATTTATTCATGGCAAATGTTGTTAAAAGCAAACATTTGGAATCAGCGTAAGTGTCCCCAAATAGGATAATGGGTGAATAAACGAGAATACGCGTCTGCTCAGTGGAAAATTATGCTTTTCTGAAACTCAATATTTCTGAAGAGTTTGCAATAAAGTGGAAAATGCATAGCTTTTATGTTCAAGGAAAATGCTGATCTCTAATGCATTTAGAGTATCATCATAATTATGTGAATTCACACATGTGCTGAGACAAAGAAAAAAAACCCTAAAACATCCGTAAAGATAAAGACTGGAAAGGAGTAAACCTTGTTACTGGTAATGATTGCCTTTAGGTGTGTGAAATGTGGGGGATTTTTGTTCACTTTTTTCAATGTTTTGAAATTTTCTACGCTGGTCATCTAATACTAAATACTTCCACCACAACAACAGCGTCTTTTCAGACAACCCAAGTGCCCATCAATACATGAATGAATTAATAATAAAATCGGTATATGTGTACCATGGAGTTCTACTCAGCCACAAAAAACAACGGTGATCTAGCACCTCTTGTATTTTCCTGGATACAGCTGGAGCCCATTCTACTAAGTGAAGTATCCCAAGAATGGAAAAACAAGTATCACATGTACTCACCAGCAAATTGGTATTAACTGGTCAACCCTAACTCGAACATATGGAAGTAACATTCATCGGGTGTTGGGCAGGTGGGAGTAGGAAAGGGGATGGGTATATACACACCTAATGGGTACAGTGTGCACCCTCTGGGGGATGGACACACTTGTAGCTCTGACTTGGGTAGGGCACAGGCCAGATATGTAACCCAAACATTTGTACCCCCATAATGTGCTGAAATGAAAAAGAAAAAGAACAGCATCAACTGTATACAACAATCACAGTTCAAAAATCAAAAGAAGTCACTGTGGCAATTTGCACACTGGTGTGTATCCAGACCCACTAACACACCCACAACTCTGCCCCAGGGGTTTCTCTTAGGGGTCTGTCCTAAAGAAATAATTCTGTTTATAGAAAAAGCCGTAAGCAGGAAGATGTTTACTGCAGGGAAAATTGGAAACTGCCTAACTGCCAAACAGCGAAATAATGGTGAAATGAAATACAGTTCAGCTATTCAATGTCATTGTGTATTCATTAAGAAAGAAAATTATGACAAAAAGTGGGCACTGGAACATTAAATGGAAATCTCAGCATTCACAATTAAATGTAAAGTGTGACTATAAAGGGTTTTTAAAAATGCATAGGTTCTGGAAAAAATATACCCAAAGATGATGAAATGAATGGGTATTGCTGGCAGGGCAGGGTGGTGGAATTGTGGGTAATTTTTTTCCTGGTGGACTAACATGTTCTCTAATGTACTTATCTTGCATTTATAATTTTATGTGATTTTTTTTTTTTTTTTTTTTTAGACAGAGTCTTCTTTGTTGCCAGGCTGAGTGAGTGCCATGGTCAGCCTAGCTCACAGCAACCTCAAACTCTTCTGGGCTCAAGCAATCCTTCTGCCTCAGCCTCCCGAGTAGCTGGGACTACAGGCATGCCACCATGCCTGGGCTAATTTTTTCTATATATATTAGTTGGCCAATTAATTTCTTTCTATTTATAGTAGAGACAGGGTCTCGCTCTTGCTCAGGCTGGTTTCGAACTCCTGACCTAGAGCAATCCGCCCACCTCGGCCTCCCAGAGTGCTAGCATTACAGGCGTGAGCCACCGTGCCTGGCCTGTATTCATAATTTTAAAACATAATAAATAAGTGTTCATCTGGAAAGTTGTTTCCAAGCTACCTGCCCCTAAACCACAGTCCAGCCGTGAAGGCTGGCGGAGAACAAGCCCTGACGTTGGCAGTGGAACGAGAGGTCCGACTAACTCCAGCGCTGATTTAGCAGTGAGTGGGTGACAAGAAATCGCTGGGCCTGGCCGGGCGCGGTGGCTCACGCCTGTAATCCTGCATCTGGGAGGGCCGGAGGCCGGCGGTAGCTCGAGGTCAGGAGTTCGAAACCAGCCTGAGCAAGATGCGAGACCCCGACTCTACTATAAATAGAAAGAAATTAATTGGCCAACTATATATATAGAAAAAATTAGCCGGGCATGGTGGCGCATGCCTGTAGTCCCAGCTACTCGGGATGCTGAGGCAGGAGGATTGCTTGAGCCCAGGAGTTTGAGGTTGCTGTGAGCTAGGCTGATGCCACGACACTCACTCTAGCCTGGCAACAAAAGCAAGACGCGTCTCAAAAAAAAAAAAAAAAAGAGAAATTGCTGGGCCTTACAGGCGTCAAGGTGGAGAATGGAGAGAGAAGGAATGCAAAACACTCAGTTCAGTGGCAATCACTCACGGTGAGCACAGCAATTCCAGGGGACAAATGGCAGCATCCAGTCCCTCCCACCAGCACAGGTTGGGGACAGGAGAGCAGAGAGCGGCCTCCAGGCAGCATGAAAAGGGGATACAGCCCAGAGTGGCACCCAGGAAGCCTGAGATCTGGGGTCAGTACTGCCAGTCCTTAGCTGAGGATGCTGGCATTGGTCAGAGGGCCCTGGGGCCACAGGGCCAACTCATAGTCTCTGTGACTTGTGCTGCCTTTTGCTCTTGAAATTCTCTTCCTTGCCCTCCAGGGTGTGGCCAAAATGCCATCATGAGACACGTTCCTTCATTTCCCCTGCCTGGATGGCACTTCCATTTATCTATACGTCTAGAGCTCAGTGCCACTGGTCAGGACTGACTTTGTTCCATCCGAAAGCAGCAGAATAAGCACCTGACAGGCAAGGCAGATTTAGGCTGTCCCAGATACTGTGCTTGGCGACAGGCTGTGCAGAGCTGGGTTGGAGTCTGTCCTCCGAGACTGGGTCTGTGTGTTTGTGCTCCAGTTACCCACTGCTGCATAACAGACAGCCCAAAGCTTGGGGGCTTGAAACAGCCACCGCCTTTATTTTGCTCTCCTGTGGCATCAGCTGGGGCAGCCAAAGGCTGGGGCAGGAATCTTCTAAAGTTTGCTCACTGACACAGCTGGGGGTGGGTGCTGGCTGTCCGCTGGGACCTGGGCCGAGAGTGTTGGCTGGCAACACCCACGAGGGCTCCTTGCTCTATGGCGCTGGCTTCTCACAGCACGATGGGTTCCAAAGAGGAGTGGAGAAGGGCAGAGGGAGGGAGGGAGAAAAAGAAAAAAGAGAAGTAATACATTTTCTGCCTCCAGTTGTCTTCAAGCTTGGTGGGTTGAGGCTGCTGTCTGCATTCTGCCTCAATTTCCCTACCCAGCCTTTCGCCACTGCTGCATAATGATCATCCATCCCATAGTTTGATCAGACAGGTCCCCTCCCTGCCTCCCAGGAGGGACGCCCCATCATTCCTCCAGGTGCTTGCCCAGGTGTTGGTCCCTGCCTGGGATGTCTTCCCTGCTTCTCTCCACTTTCTCGCTGCTCCCCAGCCTCTGCCACCAGCTCGAGGGGCTTCCTCTCTCAGCATTTCCCTCCCATCCCCGCCACCGTTTCCAACCTGAGTCCCAGAGGGGAGTCAGCCTGAGCCATGGCAGGTGGAAAGTGAGTCTCTAGTCCTGGGGTTCAGGGCCGATACCTCCGGGGTGCCCCGCTCAGTTTGCTAGCTTCATGTGATAAGTTCTGGAAGCAGCTCCTCCAGATTCTTTTGGGCTCTGTTGCAAGAGAATGTCACAGGTGAGAGGGTAAAGTTCGGTTCCCTCCACCCTGCACCTGGTCTGCAGGGTGTAACGAATGCTCAGCGTCCCTCCTGCTCCCAGCGTCCCTCCCCTGCCCTAGCACGTCTGCCAGTGCAGGTGGCTTGGCTGGTGGGGTGGCTGAGACGCCCACCCCTTAGAGGTCTGGTCACCATACCCTCCTTGTCAAAATTTGGTGCTGGAGAACCAAGCTATACCCTGGGGACCACCCAAGTGCCAGGCATATTCTTGCCAGCCCCACTGTTTAGTGACAACCTTACTTTCCCCGATGACCTGGGTCCATTGCCCAAGGCAGGACAGTGACGACTCACCTTTCCTGCGGGTCTGTCGGGACAAGGAGCCCAGAGCAGCCGAACAGCGGCCACAGCTCAGGGTGTGACGGACTCTCACGGTGTCACAGGTGGAGGTGCTTCCTCCTCTGGACTCCAGGATCTCTAAACTGCAGCGCTGTGGGTGGGACACTGAAGCTGTCCATGTGGCTTCTTGGAAGTGACGGTACATGGGGCCACTCGGGCTCTCACCTGTCCATTTCCAGACTATGCCTCCCTCTCGGGGGCCACAGCACCACGCACTGCCCACGGACTAAGGGCGCCTCTAGGGGAATGGCATCCCTGCTCCCAGGCCCTCCGCAGCTGATGCTTCACCTGCACCTTCAGTGGCCACCGCCCAGCTGGCAGCCTCTGGGGCTGAGGCTGTGGTGGCAGCGGGGACCACTTGGTCCCCTGCCTTTGCTGTAAAGTGATTCCCTTGGTCTGTCACGACGCTGCATGGGATCGAGTGCTGGTGGATCGCGTTCTGCAGATGGGAAAGGCAAAGCCAGGCCCAGCGCATGGGTGAATGCCACCCAGGGAGAACTGCTGCTCCCTCTAGCGTGGGAGGGGTCAAAATGGTCAGCCAGCCACTGAGAGGCAGGTGGGGTCCTCGAGGGACGTTGCAGTTCTTGGGGCCCAGCGTGGGTCTCTGTGGCTGTCAGGTTAGACATTTGATGGCAGCAGTGGCAGGATCACCTTGGAGCCTGTGCCCGAGCCTCTACCCCGCCACTGTGACTGCTCTGTCCATGTGCCCGTGTGGACAGTGGCAGGCTGGCAAAGTCACGCTGACCACTGGCTATTTAGTGTCTTTCCTGTGGCCAATGTGACACACATCTGTGCCCGTGACTGTAGGCCCCACCACATGCCTCTTCCCCAGACCTCCTTGGTCTCATTCTTCCAATTTTTCTCTTCCAGGCCCTCGAGGCACCAGTTCTTGCTGCCGGCAAGCCTGCGTAGGTTCTAACTGAGGACCACTGCTCTTTCCACGGGGAAGGGTTATGGTGCTGCTGGCTTTCAGGGCCGCCCCTGAACGAAGCTGTGGTCGATTTCTGGCCATCACGCACAAGCTGGGCTGAGCCGTCTGTGAACCAAATGCAAACTTTCCCCTGCCCTTGTGGCTGTTTGTGTGGCCGGAGTGGGCAGATGACACGAGGTCTGAGCCATCTGCTTGTGCAGGTGACTTGTGGCCCTGCCTGGACCTGGTCTTGGAGGTGCGGCTTCCCTCCCATGGCGGCTTGCTGCTGGGCCTGGCCTTACGCCTTGCGGGTGTGACAGAGCCCAGTGCCCCGATGGCAGCTCACCCGCAGGGGAGGCGAAATTGATCTCCACCCTCAGGGTGTTTTGCTTGGGCCTGAGATTAAATGGATATAAGATGCATCAAAGGCAGAAAAGCAGCTAGTGTTGCACACTTACATACTGAATTGAACATAATCAGTTGTGAAAAAGTAATTATGTGGGGAGGCTAAAAGAAGATAAGAATTATTTTAACCAGGTCTGCACAGAATTCTCTTGGTCTCAACTTCCCATCCTTGATGATAAGGATGTTACTTTCCTTCTAGTATAGGGAGGGCCTCCCTCACATGAGAACTTTATCTCCTGCTTTTGCACTCGATCTTAGCCAAAAGGTCGAGAAGCACTATCTCCTGCTTTTAAGAATCGGTATGAGCCCGGCACGGTGACTCGCGCCTGTAGTCCCAGCTGCTTGGGGGGCTGAGGCAGGAGGATCGCTTGAGCCCAGGGGTTCCAGATTGCAGTGAGCTGGTAGTCCAGCCTGGATGACAGAGAGAGACCCTGTCTCTTACAAAAAAGAAACAGCATGAAAGTTGGAGTGATCTTTTTGCACCTGATGTTTTTCAAGTGTCTTCAGAATAGTTAACATCCCGGGGTGGCGTATCCTGGGGTGGCACGCTCTGACCGCTTTCAACTGCATCGTCACTTCAAGTCCCATGGCCAGGCACTCCGTATCCACCGGGGCCCAGGAACTCACCAGGACCTGCTTTGCAAAAATACATAACTCTCCCCTGGAGACAGCGTGGCCTTTCTGCAGAACCCCAGGCAGGTTCATTGTGATTCTCCTGTCGAGACAACGTCTTTTCCCAGCACAGAGACCTCCAATACCACAGGGGCTGCAGGGCCGTAACGCCCAAGCGGCTGGCCCCTTGCGCTGCAGCCTGGACCTGCTGCAGGACCCTCTCCTGCCCAGAGCCTGCTCAACCTGGCCTTGTACCTGCCTCTCAGTGCGTGGTTCCAACAGTGTTCCCAGGTTGAAATATGCCGTCTCTGGGCCTGAGGAGGCCTGCCCGGCGTTGCACTTCCTTCTTGGTGGGAGCTACAAGAAGCCGGAATGTGTGTGTTACTTGGGGGGGGGGGGGTATTCTGGCATGCCTCAGCCCACTGGGCTTCTTGCACTTGCCTGATCAGGTGGGTACCTGAGTCCTCACAGCGGTTGTCCCCCAGCCCGCGGAATGCACGTGTCTTATTGACATCTCTAACATGCGTGTCACTTCTTGATCCTCTGTTCCAATGACAAGATCTCCTGAATGTAGTGGACCAAGGGTGTTCCCAGGGCTGTCCAGGTGAGATAGGTCCCCAGAGTATGACAGAGGGCCAGAGAGTTAACACGGGCCTTGGGCAGGGTCAACAATGCACACTGCTGCCTATCCCAAGGGAAAGTGAATTGTTTCTGACCCCCTTTTTCTGATAAGGATGGACAAAAAGGAAAATGCATCTGACATACTATGGCTGTATGCCATGTACACGAGGCCTCGCTGATCTGTTCTAGCAAACGTACCACATTCGGCATCAGCAACTGAGGTTACTACTTGGTTAAGTTTGTGGTAGTTCACTGTCAACCTCTAGGAGCTGGCTTTTTGTATGTGACAACTATCCTTGTGTCTTTTAGAATGTTTAAGGGAGGCACTGATCTGTGCCCCGGGATGTGACATGAGTAGGGGAGGGGCCGCTTCAGGGGCTTCCATTTGGCCCATTCTATTCTACTCTTGGCGTCCCTGCAGGGCAAGGAACCAACTTGGGATTTTGCTCCCAAGTGCATCCATGAGCTTTACACATTTGGGCATTAGAGAAATGACCACCCAGCCTCCCCAAGGACAGGCCACGAGAACTCTCTGTTACATGGGCCAGGGATCCATCTAACCTTAGAGACTATTGTTAAGGTCAAATAAGATGATACAGGAGAGGAAGATTTGTAACACTCAAGAAGTGACAGTTGTTATTTTTCACTTATTCACAGAACAGCCATTGATTAAGTACCTACTCTAGGCTGGGGACTGTGCCGGGTGTTGGAGTGCTCACAAAAATTTCCATGATTCCTACAGGTGAAAACTTTATGCCCATGAGCCGGGGCAAGCATCTCTGCATTGATGCTTAACGGGAGAGTAAACACTGCACAGTTGAGACAGAGCTCGGAAGGAAAACCCGGCACATGAGAAGCCTAGGACTTTGTGACAATTCCTCCTGCTGCTCTAGACTGTGGGGAGAAAACCGAATGTTGTCCAAAAGCTGTCTGGAGGCTTTGCCGGGGGGCGGAATGCACTCTAGGGGAGGCCCCAGACTTGGAACCAACTCCTCTGGATTGAGGGATTCCTGGCACTGCCAGATGAAGGGACTGTGTGTATCCTTGGCAGGTCACGTGCCTCTGAGCTCCAGTCTCTTCATCTATGAAATGGGTATAATGACCCTTGCTTTGCAGAGCTGTTGTAATCGTAAATGAGCTACTATAAAACATGTAAGTGCCTGGGCGTAGTTCCAGACACAGCTTACTCTGTCAAGACTCTTCACTCTGTTTCTCTGTAGGGGTCCCTTGTCTTTAGGCTCATGGGCTTTGGGCCAAACCCAAAGTCAACTCTACGGGGGACTGTCAAAGTTGAGTCCTCCAGGACACGATTTTCCAGCTCAGCGGGAAGGTCCCTTACCTCCAAATGCACCTCTTCCTCTGGCCTGCATGTGCTTTAAATTCCACCATGAGAAAGCCAGTCCTTTGGCGTCTTTTTCTTCTGTCACTAAGAACAGGAACCCCCTGTCTGTCACTAACATCTCCTGTTTGTATGCACCTGTTTGCATGAACATTTCCCGTTTGTATGGCACTTGCTTTATTCTGTCCAAGGTACCTTTTGGTCTTCCCAATAGTCTTAGGAAGTAAATGGAGATTTGCCCCAAAGTCGTCGGCTGGAAAGGGAGGAGCTGGAATTTGAACCCAGCATGCCCTGTGAGTTCTCAGCTAGAGGCAGACTGGAGTTCTTAACTCCAGACACATGACTGGATGGATTGTGCTTGCAAGACCACA